ATCGCCTCCTTGCCCACCAAGCTGGGCTGGAACAGCACCTCCGCGCAGCGGAACCGCTCGCTTTGCAAGGAGACGATGTTGCCATCTGGCAACTCATACGTCTTCGCTTTGTCGCTACTCTCCGCTGCAGACTTCATCTCGCTGTCAAAGTCCAGGGCGATGTAGCAAAGCTTCCTTAGCATACAAGAAAACCTAACGGAAGAACAATGTAGCTCTAGACCCGCCTGCGCACTGCAACTGCCAAAAAACTTAACCAATCATGATGGAGCTTCTCTTTGATGTCCCGCACAATCTCTCGCTCGGCGCTGCTGCTAAAGGAGTAGCCACTCTCCATCATGATCTTCATCAAGTATTCGGTAAGGTCGCGGCCAGCTAGGTCCAGGCGTGCGATTGCATGTGGAAGCGCATATCCCTCGTAGATAGGCACGGTGTGAGAGACGCCGTCTCCCGAATCCATGACAATGCCCGTGGTTCTGCCGGAGGAATACAGCGAGAGCACTGCCTGGATGGCGACATACATCGCCGGCACTCCAAACGTCTCAAACATGATCCTTAGTGCTGCATGCCTTTCTAGCCTCACATGTGCTGCTGGAACTGCGAGCGGTGTTTCGGTGCCCAGTGCCCATCCCTACTTAAACGGACACCAAGCGTCTGAGTCATGCGCTCACGATTGGCCTTTGGGTTCAGCGGCGCCTCTGTCAGCAGAACCGGATGTTCTTCAGGCGATGCACGCAGCTCGTGGTAGAAAGTGTGGTGCCATATTCGCTCCATGTCGTCCCAATTCGTCACGATGCCGTGCTCGATAGGGTACTTGAGGGCCAGGACACCACGCTTAGCCTGCGCCTCATCTCCGACGAGGTGGTCTTTCCTTGGCAAGTCTCAGTCTTAGAAGCCACATGCTATGCTGCGAGCCGGCAGGGTCGCGGAGAATCAAAGCTTCACTCAGCGGTCAAGCTTCTGGTCCATGCCGACCATGATGCCCGGCATCTTCGGGCGCCCGATGATGGAAGGAAAGACTGTTCGGGGAGCGTCGTCGCCAGAGAACCCTGCCTGCCGGGAGCTTTGATGGGGAGGGAGACCGACAGCAAAAGAACAACCTTGCATCACGGATCGTTACAAGGCCTGCCTTGCACATGCCGCTGCCATTGTCAACCACAAGAGCTACAACCTCGTCCGACATGGCTAACTCCTTGCTCTGCGAGAGGCAATCGTGCCTGAAGCTGGGAAGCCGAAACACTGACGGCATCATCTTGCAATTCTCGGACATTGACGCATGACTCGCGGAAACGTCGTTAAAACCACCTGCTGATTCTGCGCAAGCCTTCAACTACGCTTAACACTTCACAGGCTGCATGGACACACGTACGTTCATTGTGGCCCAATAGAGCTCT